TCCACAGTGCATCTCTATGTACAGCTGGTATTGCAGCCTGGTAGTCCGATGCATGGCAGTAGGGGTAATAGTAGTTTGTGAAGTGTCTTGGTTAAATGGTTCCAGAAGGCTCTGACTGCGGGGCAGTCAAAGAACATGTGGTCTATGGTTCCTGAGTACCAAGAGCAGTCGTTGGAGTCTCATTTACTTCATTGGTGCAGCTGTTGCGCTGTAATGATTCTGTTGTGTAATATCCTCCCAGCAATGCCTCTGTCTTTGCTGAGGATGGGGTGGTGATAGACTGCTCGCCAGATGGGTGTACCCAAATGCCAGTTGCATGTTCCTTTATGGTTAACAGGAATCTTCTGCATGTTGTTTTTCTGGTTATGGGGAGTGCAATCAATCTGCNTACAATCTGCCATTTGGTTGTTTGATGGCAAAGCTAAGGGAGGGTGATGTCAGCAAACTGATCTGCAGTGATAGCAGATAAAGGCTTCTGCTGTTTTAAGTTTGATGCGAGTCTACGGACAGTAGGTATGGTACAGCAGTCCATGTTGATGTCTTCTATATGCTTCCAGCGATCATTCTCCATGAGGAGGTCATCTAAAGAAAACATTTCATGTGGTCCAGGCTTTGTCAAAAACCAGGGTGTGGCCAGGGATCTGTGGAGTTTCATATGGGGCTGCATCTTAGGTTTGCAAGAGAATAACTGTTGGCATTAACGTTGTCCCGGGCTTCAAGTGCATTGACATAAACAGGTGGCACTGCTTGGAAGCATGGTTGGGTCCAATTTTAGTTTAAGCATGTCCTCTGCATGAAGGACTGACATATATATTCTGATGTTCCACGTTTGAAAGTACCATGCATTCTATCACTGCTTGCAATGAAATTCTGCGAGAAAGAGAAACACAGGGTTTTGATACAGGTGGGGAGGTGAGGCACACCTATTCTTCTATCTTCCAGCCTCCCATACATAAGTTCAGATCCTACCAGTGACACCCCTGTCAGATGAACCTGACCATCTGTTTATGCACTGTGTCGAGGACCGCAGTGGGTGGGGGAAGAATAGTCGGTACTTGTGCCAATTTAGAGCCTCCTAGCTGGTTGAGTCTCAGTTTTCCTTCCTGATAAGAAATAGCTGGTGGAACTTTCTCCCATTGGGTTAGCATTTCCCAAATTTTTTCCTATGAAAAGTCCAGTTGACTGCGGCACATTTAATGTTGCTCCTGACAGTGCAGCATAAGCCATGAAGTTACAACCGCTCTTGGCTACCACTTCTTGTAACCGTTTTTTGCCACTTCTTATGACCACTGCCTATCTATTATTGTATTTATTTATTTATTTGCCCGCTTCGGTAGAACACTTGACTCATTTATTTGCCCGCTTCGGTAGATCACTTGACTCATTTATTTGCCCGCTTCGATAGAACACTTGAATCTTCTCAGGGTTGTATCACGGTAATAACTGGGGCAACACGGAGACTACACATTAAAAGCTAGTCCACTGAAAGAAATAAAATACTCTATTTTCTGCTTAATCACAAATTGTTTATTTCAGAAGCAAACACTATATCTTTATTGGCAAGTACGGAGTAATGTGCCCCTTTATTATTATCAAAGATTAACCGAACTAAATAAAGAATGTTAAATTTAGATAAACTTGGAGAGACCAGCTCAATGACGTCTGCCTCTGGGGAATTCTAAGTGCCAAGTCCCTCTGCCCACTCTATTCTGCGGGAGCGCCACTTCATCCACTGTATAGGATTTGAACCGACGGCCTTTCTCCCAGACAAGAATAGTTTCCTAATGGCTGATTTTAACTACCAATTCATCATACCATCAGTACTAGACAATCACATTACTAACTTTTAGAATAAAGAGATCCAAAGATATTGAACCCAGAACCCTACATGTGAAAGCGGTTATTTCTTAGTTTAGGGTCTAATTACACCCTTCAGAAGACACTTTTATAACAGCTACCCTATTAGCAAAACAAGATTTACATGTTCGGCAAACTACAGACATGCCTTTTCATAATTGCCTTGACCCTTTTGCGGTCACCCAAGCTGCAGGTAACAAAACAAGGCAGTTGCTCCTGTCTAAATGTGAAAAGCAAGTCATAACTTCTTAATGGATGGGTCTCCCTAATAAATCAGTCACTCTAGTGAAATGGCTAAAGGGGAATATAGCGTCCATTAAAGAGTTTTAAAAGGTTTGGACTGTTACAAAGTTTTGTAATAGATGTGGGAACTCTTCATCTTTGGTGATGAAGACCGTGATGTCAACTGCATATGCACTGGTCACAAGAGATCTGTTGATTGAGGATGGTACTGGAAGTCCATAATCTTGAAAGGTATTGTTCCACATTAAAATGAAGGGTTCAGTGGTGAGTGTGAACAGTGGACCTGAGAGGGAGTCTGCTTACTATACTCCTTTGGCATATTTGAAGGGAGTTGTGAGCGTACCATAAATCTTGACCATCCATTTTTCAACGTGGTACACAGTTTTGATGTTTCTAATAAAGGTCATACCAAAGCCAATTTTTTTCATGATGTGAAAGATATATGGGTATTCTACAGTCATAAGCAGAGGCTTGATTGAAAGATATAACTGCAAGAGGCAGATCCTTCTGGATGGCCATAGTCTATGAAATCTCTGACACAATGGCGGTTGGTGTCAATCGTTTTGTTGGGTACACAGTAATTTTGATCGGTGGTGAGGGTGGGGAGCACTGACGTTATGCTGCTTGCTAGGCATGTCATTAGTTCATAGTCCGTAGCAGCGTCATCAGCAGCGACTTGAAGCACAGAGCAAATGATGCTCGACATGGTTCAAGTTTGTATAGCAACAGGCAACAGGCGTGGTTTGAACGGCTGTTGTACTGCGATGTGGAAAGCAAATGGAAAAACTACAACATTATCACTTTTCCTGGATAGTCTCTTTCCAAAAACAGAGACACCATGTATGCGAAACAGAACACAAGGAAGAAGACGTAAGAAGATGTTGGATGACTTTGGGGACAGAAGAGGATATTTTTATTTGAAGGAGAAAGCTCTAGATCGCATTAAGTGGAGGAACTGTTTTGGAAGAGACTGTGGACCTGTCATCTGACAGATTACTGATGAATGAATGAATTCTGTAATATTATTATCGACCTTCTGTGTGACAGAAATGTATGGTCTCCTTTTTTTGTGACCAGGATAATTACTCCATTGAGCACTAAAGAAGGCGGGTTTTCTTCTTGCATACTGGTGTTTGCTAACCATAGCAGAAAAGGGCCCAGTGCAAGATTTTGATGAACAGCATGCATTCTAATACAAACTGTTTCCTGGGAGATGGTAAGTTCCAGGGGGAGGGGGGGGGAGGAGAGGAGAGTACAGGGTAGTGTGGACAGCACTGAGGAAATCTAAAGACAGAAGGGGCAATTTGGCCCAGCCACACATCCTCTTATGCTTCAGAGTATTTACCTATGTCCTTCTTCACAGCTATCCAGATTGCTTTTATTTGATTCTGATGCCTTGTAACCGTACGCATCCTTCACGGAGGTGTCTTATTTGTTTGTGCATAGCGATTGGGTTTGGCTGTGGAAATGAGATGCCCCGGAGGGATCATGGTCCACTGAACTGGCCTTTTGTTGCGAGGGACAGAAGGGAGGTTGGTGAGTCCATTGCACTCAAGGGGGTGTAGGTATACCTTCTTTCGTCCGTGCCTGTGGGGGTGGAGGACCTGTGGATAGAAGCTTCGAGAAGGTATGCAGACCGGAAGGGGTCCATGCGTTTGGTCATGAAGCCCTCCCAGTGGAAGGTTCGGGATGGCTGTAAGAACGTGGTTTCTGGGAGGAGTGGCGGTGGTAATTGAGTAGTGGGTGAGTAGAAGCCAGGGAGTGAGGGTGTTCATGTGGAACCTGTGCTGAGGGATTAACCGATCGAGCCCGCATCCAAAACGATGTAAGCGAGCCAACACCCGTGTACCCCTGGGATACAAGACTCATAACCGCTGAATTTAGCCGAGGCACTACCCCGTGAAGAAGTAAAGTGTGTGGGGGAGGGTGTAGCCTGTTTATCGTAATGCATACATTTTGCCCCTTTGATTACTTGAGTTAAAGCTTTGCAATAGGTCCTTGATTGGCTATTACATTTACTGCATTTTTAAGGTAACAAACTCCAAATAAAAACTGTACTGTTAAGAATTAATCTATTTGTACTCAGATTTTTGAAATAGATGGTGTACTGATATACACTTAGTTTACGTGTCTTTCAGAAAGTATTTCAATATTTTCACAAGTTCACTTGTGTGACTTTATATTCAGCTCTTAAAAGCAATAGAAACTTTTGACGAAAACTGTACATTGCAACATGTGAATTATAACCACCTGACCATGCTTTGGAGACAGCTACCCAAGCAAAAGAAGTCACCATAAACACAAACATTGACTTTCTATAAGACAGTTCTGCTGTTCGAAGAACAAGAAGAGAGACGACCTATTATACAAAAAAAAAAATTACTTCTGAGACTCAACTGTTAGGGTCTGCTGAAACAGGAAGTTCAGATGGCCAGTTCAATCTGTTTCAGTCTTTATACCATTTGTCTTGCGTTTCTTATATCTACTCTCACAACATAAGGACACATCATCATGAATTTCAAAAGACCATGCATGGACAAACAAGACTGAATACAAGACATTTTACATTTATTTATCATTTCATGGATCCAATCATCTCCCCGTAGGGCTGGATATAAAACATGTCACATATTACAAATTCATGATGACTACATATATTCATCTTTAGTCCAATAAAATATAAAATCAAGCCTGAGACAGAATAGCTCAAGTTGTCAGGACAACACACATAGGTCATGGAAAAACCACAATCAAATTCACAACTTGCCATTCCACACACACTGGAAAGCCACATCATCCAAACAGTACAAGTTATGAAGCTCCTCATTATGCAGTTTTCTCCAACCTCCTGTCACTTCATCTCTCTTTGGTCCAAATATTCTCCTCACTCTGTTCTCAAACAGCCTCAGTCTATGTTCCTCTTACATTATAAAATATTAAAATTCATAACAAAAAACAGACATCATACATACTACTATACTTACAACAGGCAAGTCTCAACAATGTATAATTCACACAGTCAATCATAGGAATCTGGGGAAAAACTCTGACGAAGCCAACAAGGAAAATCACATTAAAGAAATAACCCCATTTCTATCCTACTACGGGGTCTACAAACAAGCTCAACTAATGTATCAGTCAAACAGAGGAGTCCACCATGATAACACAAATGACAGGTCCATGATTTGTTTCCAACCCCCATGAGGTGTCAAAATGAGGACAATTGATAGGTTGGGCAAACAACAATGTGCACCAATTCACCCATGATATGACTGGCAAAAGACAAAAGGTTGCACCCCATAAAAACAAAGACTTGGTTCCCTATAGCGTTTTCATGGCATATTCTGGCAGCTGCTAGTGCTTTGCTGGTGGCAGAAACTAACTGATACTACCAACAATACTTCTTTTACCTTCACAAGAGATCTTCTTCAGTGCCTGGTGTTAGCAAATCTGAAACGTTTCTGTCTCTAGCAATTGTTATTTATGGACATCACACACGACACCTGAAAGACAACCGATTACTAAACAGCTGTTTCTACCCTTTTATGGGAAAAAAAGTGAAAGGTTTCTTCATATTCTTAATTTTCTCCACTTTTCAAACAATGGCAATGCTCTTAACAATAATGACCCAAACTATGACTACAGAAACTAAGACACATTTTTGACTTCCTGAAAGAATAATATTCAAAAGCTTTTTTTCAAGGGGGATAATTTTTAAAAACGCAGGACAGACGTGTTTCAGAATAAAACTTTATAAATTGTGTTACACGCCTGGCTACACATAAAATACTACTCATCTTAGGCTCTGCTTGCTGCCTGCTTCTTGAAGGTTCCTTGTTTGACTCTCTCTTCGACACTGATGATGTTACCTCTGAAACATCTGTGGACAGCTACTAGATTACACATCATTACATTCAAAAGCTCTGTTTACAACCTACCTCTTGCTGGTTTCTTTCTTGGTTTACGCTTTGACTCTTAAGACGCAGGCAGTACACTCCTACAAAATGTCAGTGAACATCCACTGGACTATATGGTGTTACATACAAGATGACAGTACTTTTTACAGGCTCTTTATCTCACCTGAATCTTGCCAGTAATTCACATGGCTTGCTCTTCCACCCCGAAGATGGAGGCAGTACATTTGTCCAAAATGTTGGTGGATTCTACCAGACTATACAGCATTACAGACCAAAAGGAAGTACTCTTCATGCCACAGAAGACGGTGCCCATAAAGATTTGTTTTTCATGTATCCTGCAGGACAATCCAGAGTCATACCAAGGAAGCCAGCTTATGGTATGTCAGGTCACCTGTAACTACAGTTTAAAGACCACTTCTACTATAAAGCAATTAACGACTACATGACCATCTTGAGAGTATGAGAGGGAAAACAAAAAGGAGTACAGAGAGAAATAAAATTTAAGCTGGAACTGAAAATAGAGAAACAATTACAGAGGTTTGGCCGGATAGAATAAAGATTCTGAGAAGGGGAGTAGAATTTAGAGCAGGGAATGAGAGACCCACTGAAAAGTCCATTACAAGATGGTTTACTTATGAGTAGATACTGGAAAATATCAAAATGAGAGGAAAGAGCCGGAAAGGAATCAAAAATGAAAGACTGTGGGATGAAGGAAAAGGCTGGAAATTTTTCTGTCCATCAACCAGTATAAAAAGGGAATGACAGCAGAAGGAGATGGAACATCTTATATTCTTCTGTTAGACACATAACACAAAACTTAAACACTGATTTCATATCTATATTGACTGCTTTCTCAAATAAGTTTTATCCCAAAAGATTCTGTATTAACCATCCATACACAAGTGTTCCACATTCAAGTTTTAAAATGACTGACAGCTCTGTCATCTTCCTGATTTATCTTCTTCTCCCCTTGCATCTTTCTGTCATATACACACTGTCAGTATTCATATTCAGGAAGCATACAGAATCAATTTATAAACTACATTAATTTTATTGGTTTGTGTATGTGTAATTTTTTGTGACACAAAAAATATGGTTAAATAAAAAAAAGCATTCAGTTACAAACTGAACTACAATAGCACTGAACATTATTGCATCTTTTGTACTGTTTTTAGATCACTGTGGGCAAAAAATACAAATCTTGTGACCTGATGACTGAAAAATTGTCTGCTGCTAGGTAACATCTTGATAAACAAGCAAGCCATTGCTATGCAACAGCTTGCTCGCAACAATCAAAGACCTGTTGGGAATGATATTTTTATGCAATCTGTCCTGAGGCTATATAACTAGAGCCTCCAGATAAATGAGTCAGTGATGGTTAAGAGGCCGTGAGTTGCGCTTGACAGTCAGCTGGGAACCAGCTACATGGAAGCAGAAGAACACTCAGTGTTGGAAGCTGTTATCTAGCATTGTTTGGTGAAGACACAGACACCTTATGTTTGCAGTAGCAATGTGGAAAGTGTGTAGATCCATGAAACTGTTATACTTACCTATAGTTATGAGTTATAACCTTGCATTAAATCCAATTACCAATCCTAAACCCATGAGTAGTCACTAACACGTGACAATATGTTCCAGTCATTGCTGTACAATCATTTGAAGACAACAAAACTGAAGCACAGACAGCATACAGCATACTGGAAAGTATCAAACTGCCTAAATGCAGTTTCATTCTGGCAGGAATTGTTAACTGTTTAAAACCATAAATTACAGTACTGTAACGTGGATGGCCAGAGCGTTGCTAAGTAATGGACTGGTTAAACGCACATGATACATGCTTGCAACGATGGAACGAGGTTACATAACCCGCTTCTAGGCAAGAGCTCAATAAACAGACTTCTGTGAGGCGCAATGATGTCACACTGTAACAGTACCATCATGTGACTTGTTTTCTGTGTTGTCCATTCAGTGCCTATATAATGGATATCTATTTAAAGTAGAGTCAGAGTGTGTGTGTGTGTGAAGAGTTCAGGAGAGCTCAAAACAATTGAGGGTCTTGTGTAGAGTGTTTACAAAAAAGTGCGTAGAATACCTGATGTGTTTTTTATAATTACAGCAATCTTGAAAGTGTTACATTTATTTGTAGTTACAACTAGTGAATATTCAACTGATTTACCAATACAAACATGCGTCTTTGTCACTAAAACTCGTGACAATATTTTGTGGGGGCTTTCGGAAGTCTTGGAACCAGAATTTCAACTCACTGTGAATATTATTCTGAATAAAAGTTTATTACATTATTTACAAACTGCAATTATTTTACATTATTAACATCTGTACAAATAGTTTTATCCATATATATACACATAAAGGTCAATGCTTAAAAGGATTCAAAATGAAAACTGATGTGTGAGCTCTGATTACTACAATTTCACAAAACTGACCTCTTCATCTGAGCCATCGGTACTGTCTCTTCTATGCCTATCCAGAACACCTTCAATCTCTGTCTCCCAGATTTTACTGTTGTCTCCAGTCCCAAATTCTGACTTGTTCTCATCAGCAGACACCAAATCTTTCTCCTGCAATCCTCTAGTATATTCTGCAACTACTTCCAAGCCCTGAATTTGGATGTGTTCTACCTTTGATTCACTTAATACGGCTTTCTCTCTTAATTGCAGTTCCACTGCATGATTTTCTCTTAATGGCTGTTGAGGAAGTCCACTCGTGGCAGAAACATTCTCATCCACCTGCTGAATCAAACACCATTTGTTAGTTATCAAAATAACATTTCTTTTTATCATCTGTCCCAATAACAATAACAAAACATATGTAGTAACATATACAGCGTACATCCCAAACTCTGGGTGAAACCCTGGCATCATTTATCCAGAGATTTTCCATGTTTAATCTCAGTTCCTCGAAGGAAATGTAAGAATTCTATGAGTATTTTTCAAAACCATACCTGGAAATTAACATTCTCCTACTTGCTATGGTAATACTATGACATAAAACAAAAACAAACTCCGTGGTTTTAGTCCACAAGTGAACTACACAGACCAAGAGACTGCCACTTGTTGGCGAAGTTACTGCCAACTTCAGTGGACAGAGGGTGTCGCGTGACCAGCGCAACAAATCCCCAGGGCCATTAATTTCGGTTTTCTAGACTGAAGCCACTATTTCCTAGAAATAGCTCAATTATCCTCACGAGGCTGAGTGGACCCCATTCCAGACCCTTTACTTCTCAGAAAATCTGGTAACACCAGGAATCGAACCCGAACCTCTGGATCTGTAGCCAGGAGCTCTGACCACTAGACCACAGAGGCAAATACTGTGACATACCTAACAATACACAACATTATCTGACATGGGCTTCTGAATGTTCCTACATACCCGTCAAGCAATCTGGTTCACGCAGTTATGATTATGCCTTCTGTTCAGGAGGTGCCAGTTCAAATCGTGGTCAGAAAACCACCTACATTTATGTACCTTATTCTGAGGTTTATCACGGTTCTCCTCACTCCCTCCAGGTAAATACCAGGACATTACCTTAATTAGGCCAACACTGCTTCCTTTCACACAATCTTTCCAATCAGTATTCACTGTCATCCAATTAATCAACACTATACAGTCTGAGATACTAACAGTGTCATTAAATATGCTGCAACCGACTGACCAACTATCTGACAGACTACATGGAGCTTATCCCTTCTTGAGAAGCTCAGAGTTGCCCAGGTATTCAAGAAATTCCTATCATTTTATGGAACCTGGCAGTTTATTTTCTTGTTCACAAGAACCTGCCACTGGCCCTTGTCTTGAACCAGATGAATCCAGGCTCCCAGTCCCACTTCACTTCTTTAAGATCCATTTCAATATTGTCATAAATATGGCTGTTTGCTGGGCAACAGTTCGGCAAACACTGCCTGAAAGCTGGAATAGCAAAGTACAGAGGAAGTCCATTTGCTAGGCAACGGCTCACTAAAATGCATTATCATGTCAACGAAGATTCAACAGAGGTTTCAATGGATACAGGAGACCAAAAGATGAACTATTCGGTGCGGTGGTTTCTATTTGGTTCTCTCAAAGTTATAAAAGACAGTTCATTCATGAATGCATTCATAAGAGAAGTCAGGAGGCAGTTCAATTTGTGAGCAGTGATTCATCATAATTAACTGTAAATGTAAAGAAGTACCAATAAATCCAAACTGAATGACATCAAACAAGCATCCATTACCATAGAGCAAGACATTCAACTTCAGTCCACATCAAGAAATAACCTCCTCCTTTCACTGTATCATTTGACTTCATTCACTGGGCTAGAGAAATGCATTTCTGTTGCATTTTTTCATATGTTTACCTTAAAACTGCTTTCTTTTAGGAAAATACCGAGAAAAGAATACACACGAAAAGGGTTAACCACGTTTACAGACTTTAAACATACTTACTGTAAATTGATGACATACTGACAGTGAGTCACCATAGCAACCAGGCACAGGAGGCACAGCTTGGGGCTCAATCTGATCTTCAATTTTCTCATGCATACAATGTATGGACTTCTTCATTGGAGGAGGTACCTGTATTTCTTCTGCTCCATCCCTTTGAACTATAGCAGTGTTTCCACTTGACAATAACTTCTGAATTCCATGAATGTTCGTTATGACCAAACCTGTGTCTGTAGAGGCTGCCGTTTGCATCAGACTACTTAATGCATCATTCAGAACTGAATGCCCTGAAAGCTGCCCCACTTGTCCAACTACATGTTTCACCTGAAAATACATGATCAGACATGTAGTCATATTGTAAAATTCTATAAACCACGGCATTTCATTCTAAGTATAGCCCATATCTGCAAAATTCAATAATGCATGCATTTCACATTTTGCACAGATGTTCACACAGTACACTTATATATTCTTCCAAAATGAGTAGGTCATAAGCAGAACATTTTGTTTGTAAATAATATACATATGGCTATATATTATAAATAAGTAAAGTTAAACACATGTAGGCCCAGGTTCAGCCATCAGGCATTCATGTGGGATCTGTGATGGACAAAGTGGCACTGGGGCAGGATCTTCTCAGATCTTTGTTTTCCTTTACCAATTTTCATTTCACCAATGCTTCAACCTTGCATCTATAATTCAGACCTTGTGCAACAGGCCCCTTTGCAGCTGTAGTAACAAGGGATTTGGTCTCATCTCACCCCAAGAATAAAAAAGGTTAAATCCAGAACAGGCTATGATAATACTATACTAATTTAATATTATATTTCAGCATCCTCTTGCACTGAAGCATCACTTAGTATTCTTCTGTCTATAATGCAACAATATCAATATCGATTTATATGAAACTAATCCACGTTTAATTCACTACAATGTTCATAAAATGTTTAAAAATGTGATTAAAACATATATACATTCTATGCTTACGCGCTACATGTTTCGATCACACCACGCCATTTTCAGGCAACATATTATTAAGGTATCCACTGCACTGTGCACTCTGTCAATAGTACTCTTAAAAGTACGTCATTATTATTAATTTTTATGTTATAGGATGTTTGTTATTCCAGTGTGGCTGCAATACAAAGGATAGGAAAAACAAACATCCTATAACACAGACAGCAAGGTGATCTTATAAGCCTCACTGCAACCACAAGAAATGGGAAGATCGAGCCATATTACAAACCTAAGATCCCTGGAACATGGCTACATTTCACTACTTCATTTATGTAATATTCTCTTGTGAACAATTTTGAAATGTTCAATATGGGAAATTATGATGTCTCTTCCATCTTAATACTATACCAAGGCATTCATTTTTATACATGTTTCATATTAGACTGATACTGCATAACATGAATCAGACAGGTTATCATTCCTCAGAGAAAACCACTGCTCTATACTAACATGTCAATTAGAAATGACTGAGAAACACTGCATTAAGATGGAGTAATTTGCACAATTGAAACATTGAAGAAAGCAGTCTTCTGGGATGTGGCACCATGTAGATGTGGTGTTAACCATCGTTTCAGAGGAACATATCGCCTCCAACTTCAGGGTAGAAGGAAAAATAAGAAATCCGCAAGCAAAGAGACCTCCTGCTTGTACCAGTTCTCACGGTCTCTTTGCTTGCGGATTTCTTGTTTTTCCTTCTACCCTGAAGATGGAGGCGATATGTTCCTCTGAAACGTCGGTTAACACATGTACACGGTGCCACATCCCAGAAGACTGCTTTCTTCATAGTCAGCGCTGTGAAAACCTCAAATCTTACAATTGAAACCTTACTTCCTTAGTATTAAAATTATCTGTAGTCCTGCTGTTATTTACCTCTTGGTGTCTCTGACCAGATATCTCAAGCCCTCCCATATAAAATGGTAGCTTTACTACAGCACCACAGCTTGCACATATGATGACTGCGATGAAGAAAAATGATGCAATTAACACCAGATAATTTGTTCCCCATGGAAGATTTTCTGAAACATACAAATACCTCTAGTTTTTACAAGATTAATAGTTACAGAACTTAGTTTTCTAATTCTTTTCTTGTACCAAAGAAGTTCTTCGTATTTCGTGTTGGAAGCTTTAATGACATTCACACCCCACGAATTTTACTTTATGTTTTGGTGTCTCATAAGTCATCTAATACAACATGTATAGGTACACATTTCTCTGATCATCTTCAGTTAAGAAGAGTCTAAAGAAGGAAGCTTTACCCTTGCTGATTTGTAACTGTGCTCTATTTGCTGCAAGAAAATCACTATTTAATGGTATTTAGGTTCACAATAATACTTCTGAGCAGATATTTAATTTTGATTAATTTTAAAATGATGTAATTAAATGTTCATTGTATAAAAATATTGCCCAAAATTTACTGAAATTAATTATATAAACACTTCTTGTTGCATAGGTTTCTCAGATATATTTAAGCAGTTTTGAAATATAAATAAATATTATATCTTAACAGAAACTTGCTGATTTTACCAGAGCCGTCAGACTATAGTACAATCAAACATGGTTTAAGCATGTTATGAGGCACAAGAGTACAATTCATCATGTCTTAATCCGAAGGGCAATTAACAATTAACAACTGCATATATATCATACTTCACATTTTTCAGAGCTACAAGAGAAAAATGATTATAAAGCCATCATCAGCTTAACCGTTCAGCGTGGTTTGACGTGTATGTTTCGTCAGGTATTTAAATCGTCTGGGGGGGTTCGACGTGTATGTTTCGTCCAGCTGCACACCTATGTTATAACGCCCATAACAATCGATGGTTTTGCTGTAGATTGTTAGATTTTTCGCTGGCCTGTTGTCAGGAGAACTGTATTTAATGACACACGAGTTTAAGAGCGCTAAGTCATCGTTACATATGCCTGTCTTGCAGCAAAGTTCCTGTGGCTATTGCGAGCGGTTTCTTGGTTCTACTGTTATGAATGGCGTGTTTTCTTTGCTATGAAGTTATAAACAGCAGAGACGTGATATGTGCTGTGTTTATAATATCATATTGCCCTGAGCTGGCCACACTAACACACTCAATTGGAATTCTTAGAAGAGGGATGTCCAAAAATTTATTCTTGCATGATCGATTGATTTCGCACAGTATATAGCACCCAGTTCTTAGAAAAACGTCACGAATTAAGGCAGAACACTGTGGTCACCCCCTGAGACGATACGGATGTGTGTGGGGGAGGGAAAAGAACTCATTCCTTCATGTATTATCGCTCCAGTTGACGCCATTTTATCGTACTGACCTTGGTGGTCGTTTCGAGGGATGACCATAAGTATTTTTTTGAGCCAGCTAAGCTCTGCTTTCGTGC